AGAGTGTCCCATTCATAATTTTAGCTTTCAGAAGGGTGCTCTCGAGTATGGAATGCCAAACCTACCATAATTATAAATAAATAAATACATTTACAAAGAAATGTAAAAAAGCAAATATAAATAAATATACAAAGAAAAGTAAAAAAAGCAAAACTAAATAATTATTTATAATTTTATTTCCTTATGTATTTTTTTTTCCACTTTTATTTATTTTAACATTTATGTATTTATTTACGTATTTATTCATTTCCACAAGTATTTATTTCTACATTTATTTATTTTTACATTTATTTATTTTCACATTTATTTATTTCTACATTTCTTTGTCCATAGGGTAATGAGGAGGGCATGTTTTACCTCAGGAATAGCAATCAAGCCAGAGTAGATGAGGGGTAAGCTTTGAGGCCACAGTGACACCTTGTGGTGCCCAAACGAAGTACAAGAAGTGTAGCCTACATGACGCGCGGGATGAGTGATTTAGATGGGCAATATGGCCAAAATCTTATATCACAGGTTATTATTTCAATTTCACGGGGGGGGTTGTTTCGGCTGGGAAGCGTGCAATTGCTTTCTTATGTGCGCAGTTTTTTTAGGTTTAATTTTCAACGCATACAACGCATGTTTCAAAGATTCGGGATAGAAGGAGACATCAGTTACTGTAGAAGATTTGTCGCCTCGTGCCACTTCCCATGTGGTCGCCGCATCAACTGATTATAATGAGTTCTCTTGGTGTAGACATGGCTTTAGATAGGGATTAATCGGCTGATTAATCACACGTCTTAGGCTGGAAATATCCAGAATTAGATCAAACAAAAGGTGTACATGGGAAGGGAGCTAGTGAAACACACACGCCATGCATTATAGCCTAAAACATGCTTAATATTCGCGACTGACACCAACGATTGTATGCGGCTATGCAGTGGAGATGCGTTCACTGATCTCGTATGAATGCATATGCATATGAAAAACAATGCGATCATCAACAATAAACAGTGTATAAATGAAAACTTCCTAATGTTACCAAGTGAAACGTCGATCCTGGAAATGGCAAAGGACTGTGAAGCTTTGGGGGTGTTGATGGAATCTACTGCATCTTTGCTCATATGGATCCGCACGCGTCTCGTCGGCCCCGTTATATATATATATATATGTATGTATGTATGTATGTATGTGTGTGTAAATCTCAGTTTAGTAATAACTCAGTAAAAAGAAATAAGAAATGCCCATGTATCCCAACTCTTCATTGTGTTAAAATTAAAGGGGTCATGAATTGAGAAATCTAATTCTCCTTGATTTTTTTTACATATAAGAGGTCATTGTACTATTAAAAACGTCTTGTAAGTTTCAGAGCTCAAAACTTTCTCATAAGTCTAAAAACAGCTTTTATTGGAACCAAGATTCTAAAATGACTCGTTCTGGAATTTGTCACATTATGATGTCACAGTGCGATGAAAGCCCGCCTCTGCAGAAGATGATCAACACCTACTTCAACATCACTGCCTCTTTAGCAGTGGAGAAACACAGTCTCAGAAAACTTTGCTACATTTTGCTACATTTACATATTCATTAGCTGAAGAAACCGTTAGAAGCTCATTTTATTGTGATTCAATGTTCAGATCATGTCATCCCATGTTCCTGAGCAACCCTCTTTACATGTCTTTATTATTATTATTTATCTCTTCTAGATTTTCTGGCTGTAATCTCTCAGATCAGCATCAGATTGGCAGGCTGTACACTCACTGGTCAGTGCTGTGAATTTGTGGCATCAGTTCTACAATCATCAAACTCCCGTCTGATAGAGCTGGATATGATTCGCGATGAGCTGCGGGACTCAGGAGTGAAGTTGCTCTCTGATGGACTGAAGAGTCCAAACTGTCAGCTGCAGATACTGAGGTATTAAGAACATATAAGAGATAATTTACAGTCAACTGGTCACAATGTTGGTGTGTGTCTGTAGATGATCTGACTGTGTGTTTCTGTAAATGATCTGACTGAGTGTCTGTAGCTGATCTGACTGTGTGTCTGTAGCTGATCTGACTGTGTGTATATAGCTGATCTGACTGTGTGTCTGTAGCTGATCTGACTGTGTGTCTGTAGATGATCTGACTGTGTGTCTGTAGATGATCTGACCGTGTGTGTCTGTAGATGATCTGACCGTGTGTGTCTGTAGATGACCTGTGTGTGTCTGTAGATGACCTGTGTGTGTCTGTAGATGACCTGTGTGTGTCTGTAGATGACCTGTGTGTGTCTGTAGTTGATCTGACTGTGTCTGTAGTTGATCTGACTGTGTCTGTAGATGATCTGACAGTGTCTGTAGATGATCTGACAGTGTGTGTCTGTAGATGATCTGACCGTGTATGTCTGTAGATGATCTGACCGTGTGTGTCTGTAGATGATCTGACTGTGTGTGTGTGTGTAGATGATCTGACTGTGTGTGTCTGTAGTTGACCTGACTGTGTATGTCTGAAGATGATCTGACTGTGTGTGTGTGTGTGTGTGTGTGTGTGTGTGTGTGTGTGTGTGGAAGATCTGACTGTGTGTGTCTGTAGATGATCTGTGTGTGTCTGTAGATGATCTGACTGTTTTTGTGTGTTCTGCTCTCTTTCAGTCTTGCTGGATGTAATCTCACTTGTGAAATGGGGTCATCAGTTCTTCAATCCTCAAACTCTGTCCTGAGAGAGCTTGATCTGAGTAACAATGACCTGCTGGATTCAGGAGTGAATCTGCTCTCTGATGAACTGAAGAGTCCAAACTGTCAGCTGCAGATTCTGAGGTATTTAAGAACATATAAGAGATAATGTGGGATCTGTGTCTATATAAACGATCTATGGTGTCATCAGTATAAAGTGAATGGGAGGATTTGTGACACAGACGTGGAGATTTTGTATTTGACTCTGAGACATTTCTACCTGCTCAGGGAATGTGGATGTGTTCTGGTGGTGGTTGTTTATGTACGAGAGTGGCGACTGCTGTGGCAGATTGTGTTCATATGCTACAGCAGCAACAATGCCGGGTTTTAAGCAGTATGTAAAAGGGCAAACAAGGAAGAGTAACTTGCTGGATAAATGTTTTGTAATTGTGGAGGGAGCATGTGTGTCGAGGATAAGGCCACCGGTTGCAAACTCAGATGATAATGTAGCACTTCTTGTACCAATTTATAATTCTAAGCTGAAAAGCAGTAAACCAGAGAAAAAAAGTAATAACAGACTACATAGGTTTCTGTGTACAGTCAGTGATACCAACTAAGGAGATTACAGTCTATCCGAATAATATGTACATTACTAAAGATGTCAAGCATGTGATGAATCTGAGGAAAATTGCTTTTAAAAAGAAGTATACAAAAGAATTAAATCATCTAGAAAAGGAGATAAAGGGGAAAATACGAGAGGCGAAGATGGTACATAAGGTAAAATTGGAAAAGGCTTTTATGAGCAATAACACAAAACAGATATGGGATACTATGAAGGGGACGACTGGATTGTCAACAACACAGAAATCTTTAGTGGTAGATAATGAGTATCAACTGAATCCATTTTTCTCTAGGTTTGATAAAGGGAATATTCCAGATCAGCGTGTGACTATTATTAAAACAGGTCAGACAGAATTGATGTTACGTTTGAACAAGTGAGGAGTACTTTTAAAAAGTTAAACCTATTTTTCAGAGTTCTGTAGACTCTGTAATGTTATTCCTGAAGTGTGGAAGACTTGGTATGTAATAGTGGTGTAACGATCCATCGATATGGATCAATATATAATTTAAGTGTCTAATGATACGATGCATCGATGCCGCACGTAAAATATTGATACCTGTAGTATTTATAGGCACCTTTATTTTGGCACTGTCCACATTTTGACGCAAAGTCCGTCAATGCATTACCACCAACGCGTGCATTCTCATTGAACATCAGCTGGCAGAAATGTCGAGCGCTGTGTGAGACGTTCTATACACACACATCTGAAGTGCACACACACAGACAGCCGTGTCTCAGTCAGCGTGCAAATATTTAGTTTTGTTTGTTTGTTTTTTATTTTATTTAAAAGGGACAATACACATTAATTAACATGAGTAAACAAGTCTACTATGTAAATGTGCCAGATTTAGTCATTCAGGCTAATTTTCCTCTGCAGTCCCTGGCAGGTTGATGGTAAGAACCATCTATGAGTTCTCACCATCTATGAGTTCTCACCATCAGTTGAGTTCTCTTTTGCTTATTTTTGAGTTTGGACGAACAAAAACAGACAAAATTACAGCAAAATGTGTGTCTTTGCGAATATCCTGTAAACATAGTTGGTTATATCTTAACGTAAACAGTTGAGAAAGAAAACACATGTATCTCAGGATATTGGATCCGTGCAATCCGTCTTAAAGTGAAAGCAGGCTAATAATAAACCTAAAAGAAAACATCTCATTACTTTTGACTGAATAACGTTTGTAACTTTAATGAGGATTTATCTATATTTACTTTTATATAGTGAAGGCTATGAAGACTATTTTACATTTTATTACTTTATTCATTTCTGTACCTGCAAACTTCTTTTAGATGTACCTGAAAAACCTGAAAAGCACTGTTGACTACATTTGTGTCTTGTGTCTGCTATTGCTTGTAATTTGGAAAAGATTCTTAGCACTTAGCCCTGCATGTCTGTATGAGACCCAGACTGCCATGAATAGTAGCAGCCAAAAAAATAAGTTTTAAATTAACTTCTCAAAGCAAATTTAGTTTTAAGAGCTTTATTTTTGTATTGTCTTTTTGTATATTTATTTTTTGAAATAACATTGCACATTTTAGCACATCTGAAAGACTTTATTGTCTGTTGTCATGTTATAAGATTATTGATCTCGTGTGACTTGATTTTTTCCAGTTATTTATTTTTCTTTATTATTTAAAAAAAGTTTATTTTTTGTTGTGAATGTCCCAGTTGGAGTACAGGGTGTGCAAATTTCAGATAAATGTTCATGTTATATATTTTGTATGCATTTGTGTGTTAATAAAAATGTAACTGCTTGTGGAAAATAGGTATATAATATTTATAAATTGATCGATATACTGCTGAATTGAATCGTATCGTAATCATATCATAGAATTTCTTGAGGTATCGACAAATATCGTATCGCTGGGTATGAGAATCGATACCATATCGTATCGTGACGAATCCTCCGATTTACACCCCTAGTATGTAATACCTCCTCAAAAGAAAGTAGGGCGGAGGAACTAGGTGATTATCGGCCTATAGCCTTAACACCTGTTGTTATGAAGACTTTAGAGAAAATAGTGGTAAAACAGCTTTTAAATTTAGTAGAGGGTAAATTAGATACTTTCCAGTTTCGCAGTGCTGAAGATGCAGTGGTAATGTTGTTACATTTGATTTTGAAACATCTGGATAAGGCTAAAACTACAGCTCAGGCCCTTTTCTTGGACTTTACCTCTGCATTCAATCCAATCCAATCAGAGCTTTTACTGACAAAAATTATTCAAATGGAAGTCAATCCTTATCTTTTTCATTCTTACTATTCGTGAATTGCCGACGAACAGTGCTTTCACACCGAGCGCGAACGATTGATCGCCTTCTGCTAATTCTCTCCTGCACGCTAGGTGGCGCTGACCAACAACCTCAGATATGTATCTCGTATATGGATTTAACATCGTCCGCTGCTCAATACACAGCATTAAATAAAGATAAATAAAGTTAGGTTCTACACCAGAAACACAAACCATCTATATGCTTACAAGAACACATCTTAAAATATACATCCGCTTATCATTTGTCATAAACATCCTTTATTGTTATGAAAATACCATGAGCTGCATTAAAACACATACAGAATATATTGTCACAATCATATGTCTATTTGCTATCATATTTCATGTGTAGAAAAAAAAATGTTTCTCATTTTGTTATATACGGAATGGCAGGAGATAAGATCACATGACTGACAGATCTGAACACGCTCTGACTCATAACACTCAGGCACGTGGAAGAAAACGGACAGTGCTTTTTATTTGCGCATCAATAATAATGGGCACGTGCGCCTAATGTACAACTCCCGTATGTCTCTGTAATCGTCTTTACCTTGATTACAATGGTCAAACTTTACTAGTGCGAAATTGGCTTAATTTATCCAGCGGGGAGCTGTAGTTTGCGTATATATGCTTATGCAACGGTCGGGTATTTTGAGCCACTGTTCAATCTGTGGAATCTCTAGAGCTTTCTTTTTTTTATTCTGGATTTTTCAGCACCGCCTTTGCGCTTTCTATTATCCATTTTTAGTATCTTTTATTTTTTGCTCGCATATCTCAATCAACTGGGCTGCGAGATAATAAAAAATAAAAAGAGTGGGACTGTGGTAAAATAATAAATAAAAAGAATGGGGCTGCTGTGAGTGAAGACAGTCTAGGGACAACATCCATATTTCATCCCAGTGGCATGACAACACCGGCCCTCGCTGCCAAAAGAAGCAGACCGGGAGACCGGGAATTCTCCCGGTGCTCACGATTAGCCAATCCGGGCCTGCTCAGATACCAATAGTCGCTTTTCCACTGTTGGGCTAGTGTGAGCCCGGGCTAACAACGAGCCAGGCAGGGCCAATGGCCTCACACCTCAAGCCGCGAGTCCAAAATCATGCTGCGTTTCCACCTGTCGGGCCAGTGCTACTCTTAAAAACCCGCCCTTAACACGCCTCTCTGAAGAAAACGTCACACAACATCACCATTTCACCAGCGAAGGGAAAATTAATAAACTATCAAAAAACAAACTTGACACAATCTGACGCTTATATAAAGATTTAAAAAGACTTCAGCATTGATATTTTACCAATGATTTATGATAAAAAATGTTACAGTGACCGTAATTTATTAATCTGTGTCAGAAGTGCACATCAGTGATGAAAAATTCAACTTGTATGTATAATTATTTCACATAAAAAAAGGAAACACATACTTGTTCAGTCGCGGCTGCTCCATTTATTTGTAATTACAGAAATGCACAAAACGACTCCATCCATTTAAGTCCATAGGCATACACGTATAACACATTAGAAAAACATTGTTAAACCCATATGTTTCAACTTTAGAAAGAATAAGACTTTATATTAATTTTCCACAAAATTATATAATGTGAGGATGTTTGGGCGCTGTCCTGCCTCACTATACACTGTTATCCTTTCAGCCAAAGCAACAGAGGGAGCTCACAGACCAAAAACCAGAGTTATATGAGTTATTAAACGGATATTACATTTATTACATATGCAGACGCAGAAGTCCGATATCAACAAAGACACAGGACAAAGACAGACAATAAACCAAATAAATACATGATTAATCATATATGATTTGTCTAAGTTCTTCCAGCGGTCCATGGTATGTTCATAAGCATAACGTGCATTTATTATTATGCTGATGGTTAGCATACATAGCCTTTAGCATCACATATAATACATTTCAACAATAAAGTGTAATTGAGTTGAATTAAATGTACAGTTAGCCGGTCATAATGTTGATGTGTGTTTGTAGATGATCTAACTGTGTGTGTGTCTGTAGATGATCTGACTGTGTGTGTGTCTGTAGATGATCTGACTGTGTGTGTGTCTGTTCATGATCTATGTGTGTCTGTAGATGATATGACTGTGCGCCTGCAGGTGATCTGACTGTGTGTGTCTAGATGACCTATGTGTGTCTGTAGATGATCTGACTGTGTGTGTCTGTAGATGATTTGACTGTGTCTGTAGATGAGCTGTGTGTGTCTGTAAATGATCTGACTGTGTGTGTCCGTAGATGATTTGACTGTGTCTGTAGATGATCTGTGTGTGTCTGTAGATGATCTGAATGTGTGTGTCTGTAGTGTGTGTCTGTAGATGATCTGACTGTGTCTGTGTCTGTAGATGATCTGACTGTGTGTCTGTAGATTATCTGACTCTTGATGTGTGTCTGTAGGTTGTCAGGCTGTATGGTGACAGAGGAAGGCTGTGGTTATTTGTCTGCAGCTCTGAGGTCAAACCCCTCACAGCTGAGAGAGCTGGATCTGAGCTACAATCACCCAGGACCATCAGGAGTCCAGCTGCTCAACCACAAACTGGAGGATCCAAACTATAAACTGCAGATACTCAAGTATGTCAAACACTAATATTGACATACTGAACGTGTGTGTGAATGATGCAGATCTACATTAATGTGTGTTTGTGTGTTTATAGTGTGAATCATGGAGGAGAGATCAGAATTACAGCAGGACTACGAAAGTGTAGGTCTACAAGCACACACACACTTGGAGCATTTTTAGATTTTCAAAAAAACTTAATTCTGTATGATTTATAAGCTTGTTTCCTCCTGAGGACCTAAAAATGTCCCCGCAAGGTCAAGATTTACTGGTATTACTATCCTTGTGGGGACATTTGGTCCCCATAACA